CTCCACCGACTTGACGTCAACGGTGGTTATTTTAAATAACCAAACCAAGAGGTCCTTTTCCTGCCTGTCGAGTGATTTTCTAAGCCCGGCTTAGATGTGGCGCATGGCCGAAAGTATGGGGTACCCAGTGAGGATCGAACTCACTACTCACTCGTAATTGATCTAGCAAGACAAGCTTTCTAACCATTACACCACGTCGAGGTGCCCAATGTTATGACTGTCTATTTGGCAGATTTTTCCACCTCTGGAGAAATATCTTTTTTTCTTCTTCTCTTTGGACGGGTTGGAAAGATTTCGGCATTGAATAACCCATAGAGGTTGATATGCCGCTATACAAAATCAACTAACCAATACATCAGTTCACAGGGGTGTAATCAGACGACATTTAGGGTGACATCTGTTGTGAATTATCAATATTGTTAAAAATGCATTCATACCGACGTATCAAACTCAATCTGTTGTCATAACAGGCTATGAAAATGCATACCCAATTATGCATTCTTATGTCTCTCAATCGCACCATATAACAAGTTTTTTTTACCTGAGTACAAAAATCAGCCTATAATAATTAAATATTGCGAAATTATATTAAGCATGTAAGTCTGAAATCACTGCTGAAATTACTTCCTTTCCAATTACGAACTACAATAATTTCTTCGATATTTTGACCATCATCCCACCTTTATTCTTACAGTTAGTAATACACTTCAAATCCTACCGCGGTTCTTTCTCTACCTTAAATTAATCAGCATAAATTGCATATTTTCCTCCTTAGCTTTGATACTACTCTCCAAACGCCTTCCATTTGTGAATCACGGCATTACACACTAAAAACTGCCTCTTTATTTGTAATAATCGAAATGCAAATTGTTCTATTGTCGATGAAAAAGATTCTTTTCCTTTTTAATTCCAGATTTCTCTCTTCCATATTCCAACATATAAATAAACAGAAAACCTAACTTTTCTTCCAAACAAATGTAAACATTAAATTCATTAAATATTTATTTAAAGGTAACATTATTAAACCAATAAATTTATGTTTCGTTTGTTTTGATGTTAGTTACAAATTCTCGACTGACATAAAAGATAGACTTTTGCGCCGGTGTAAAAGATTTTGAATATTGAATGTGAAGGCAGTATCACGGGTCCTGCTTACAGCTGTATCACATTAAAATAAAACATCTAATCTCGTTTGATTATTGATGTTAAGTAACACGTAAGCAACGTTAAGGAAAAGGAAATCAAAATGGACACGTATTTAGCATCAGAAAGAGACAACTGACATTTGTAGGACAGATGACGAGGAAAGTGGACTTGAAGATTTTGACACTCACAGGAAGCGACAAGAAGGAAAGATGCGAATAAAATACATGACGAGTTTAATTAGTTGACAGAAAAGATATCACAATGAATGACAAAAAGAAAAATTACTATGACAGAATGTTTTAGAGAATCATGACTGCCTAAAACGTGAAGGGAAATACTTCATATTTTTTTTTTTTACCAAAAAGACCCCTGCAATTCCACGCTTAAAGCCCGTGTATTGCCAAGCGGAACTTCACTAATCGTACGGGAACCGATGTTTGCACTTGATATGGCCGCAAGCGAACAGTGATAGAACATAATGCAATCTGACTCACTGATACTGAATTGCATCTAATTTCTAATTTCAACTGAGGGTAATTCCTTTACATATTCAACACCCAAAAACTAAACAATCACACACACACACATACATACACACACATACACGCGCGCACTCACACACACAAACATATATATATATATATATATATATATATATATAACGTAATCCACAGACAGACTGTTTCGCTGTTTCACAGCTCATCAGTGTGGCTAGACATCCGATTGCCTCTAGCTGGGATCGAAACACGGAGATTCTAACCATTAAGCCGTCGGCGCACGGTAGGGATGAAAGTGAATTTTTTAGCGTATTTATTTTTAGAAACACGCCCAGTGACCGACAGTGACTCAATTCGCATCTGCGAAGAGTCTCTATATATATATATATATATATATATATATATATATATATATATATATATACGCCCCAAAAAAGTAAAATTCGGTCGAGCACTTTAGAGGAAAAGGGCGAATTTGTAAACAGTAACTGCTACTCCTGATAATGCAAAAGCTCTTCTATGCACCATCTCCTCTGATAGCTTAGAAGGAAAAATTTCCGTTTGATGGCATTTCAATCGGGGTTCTATCTTGTCTTGGGACAATCGGATATCTAGCCAGACTAATGTGCTGTGAAACAATCTGTCTGTGGGTGACTATATATATATATATATATATATATATATATATATATGTGTGTGTGTGTGTGTGTGTGTGTGTGTGTGTGTGTGCGTGTGTGTGTAAAAATATATAGAAACTCGTTAGTTCAATCCAAAGTTCTTTAGTATTTTTGTTATTATTTTTAAAAAAATACTGCTCGATACAAAAGTAGAGCATAAATATAATTATTTATTTAAAAATATGATTCCAACGCTACATAAGAGTTCTCATGTTTCGAAACAAGAGCCGAAAACTTCAATATAATTGAAGATGGAACAGAGCTTAGTATTTTAATTCAATTTAATTCAAATAATTATATTGAAGTTTTCGGCTCTTGTTTTGAAACACGATAACTCTTATGTAGCGTTGGAATCATATTTTTAAATAAATAATTATATATATATATATATATATATATATATAATGCGACTGGAAAGTTGTCGTCATCTCATATTTATAATTTCGCGCATGCGCCTTGTGTTTATTTGATTTTGTCGACTTCAGTTAACTCCGCCAGCTATTTGGATAGGACTTTCTGTACTGCTTGGAATTCCCGTCGGATACTTCATTACGAACATTTCAGTGTATTTGTGTGCCAATTTGAGGACTGCACATAGGATTCTGAAAGAGTTCTGTGAGTCTAATGGTGGTTATCAAGGTAAGGCAACTAGGAAAACTCAATCTGATCGTTCTGATGAGAAAATAACTCTCGAATCTGTTGATGGGGGCATCAGACTCAACACTGGGGCCTACACCAAGTGCCTTGAGAAAGTAGTGCTGCCCTGGGTCAAGAGGGTGTCTGCTGGAAGACACTATATCTGGCAACAGGACTCTGCACAATGCCACCCAAATAAGAGAACACAGTCATATCTCTCAGACAAATTCAGCGACCATATCATCCCTTATATCTGGCCACCTAACACCCCAGACTGCAACCCCCTTGATTATTGTGTGGGGCACAGTTGGATGAGAGACCCCCAAAAGTTTACATAACACCAAAGGATGACCTGAAAGAAAGGATTATGGCAACTTATACCCACTTAAACAAGAACGCCGTCAGGAAGATTTGCAGGAGATTCCGAAGTCGTCTGGAGGCTGTGATTTAAGTCATTGGCGATTTTATTGAATAAATTTTCTCTTTAGTATTTGACGATATTTTTGTGTAATTTTGGTAAATATACATGTTAAAATGAGATATCAGTGTTATTTTCATTTCTACGTGATTTAGATGACAATCTATCCGTCGCACCTTGTATATTCTTCATATTTAATCTTCTAGCTGCCGTATGCCTTCAGTAAATTGGTGATCATGGATCACCACACAACTTCCTGTAATTTTAAGATTTTTGGAAATATTTGTAATTTTTACTATCCATCCTGTTCTCTCCTCAATATATACAAGTATTTTTAAGTAAGTTGCTCGATTTTTCTCTATCTCTTTCTGATTCAGAATAAACTTGTTCATTTTGTATTAAATCTTACTCGCTGCTGATATCTTCCGTCCATAGTACGGCCAGCATCATTTTGAACAAGGACATTACTATTTCATTTGTGAGGAGAATACTTAGTATTTACTGCCATATAGGGATATTGCTGTTGGACGGTAGTTCAGCACACCTTTTCTCTGTTTGTAAAGAGAATTTCCCGCATCATCACCTTTCAAAAAAGATTTTTTGACCACATTTTTTGCTATTCCAATACACCATCGGATTTCGATGTTCCAATTTCCATTTTTTGTTAAAAAAACTTCCAATACGTCAGAACTTCTCTATGCGTCTTATGTTGACATCTACAATCCGTAGCTTGCATCGAGCTAAACGGCGTTGAAACCTCCTCGGAAATTCATCATTTTGCCGATAAACTCGAGGATTAATTTAGTAGTATGTTGAGGAATTCTGCCCCCACATCTCTACGATTCTCTATGCGATAATCCTTTTAAAACCTATTAATAAAACAGTAAAAGAACCTATATTTGTTCTACTTAATTTCAAAGAGGTAGCCATTTTCAAAGTTGATTATTATTATAGACAAGAAAAAAGAACGTAATTTCATAATTTCAATTTAAGATTCCCGACACTTTATGATTTATGGTTTAAAAAAAATATAATAATTCTGGCTTCAACATTGAAATTAAATTCTGACCAAATTCCGTATTTGAATTCAATATAAAACAGCCTGAGGTCTTAATTTTTCTCAATACATGACAAGTTTATGAAATTTTTTTCCGGTTTAGTTGAAATTATTAAAAGGTTAACAGACGCTTAATTAATGTAAAGTTAGGTAAGATTTTTTTTTTAATTTTAAAATAATATTTGTTCATATTTTTTTAATTTTAAAATAATATTTGTTAATATTTTACGTGGCATGGTGATATGGTGTTAATAATATTTGCATCAATCCCAGATATCTAACAATAAGTTTTCTCCGGAATTTCAAAATCCAGACTGAGTGTTCCATTACAGATGCCCACTATTCTCGCGTTGATTTTATAGAGTATCATAATTATTAGATTAATTGAGTTGTTTTCTTTTACGGTTTATCAACCTTTTGTTGGTTATATAAAGCCAGAAAGTATCTGTGCGTATATGAATAAAACGAAATTGACGGGAATTGGAGTTGAATTACAGTTCAACGTCTTCCAATTCTGGTACAGTTGCTGCTATCCTTTACTCCAACCGCACATTCAAGAACCTGGTATATGGTATTCCCATGCGGTCACCCATCTAAGTACTGACCAGGCCAGACACTGCTTAGCTTTGCTGATCTTTCGAGAATACGGTGGTTCAACGTGATATGACTGTAAGCGCATAATTATTAGATATTAATAATATTCTAATGGGACATTTTTACTCTGAAATATTAAAAGATTTTTCGCTTGTTTTGTATAGTTAAGAAGCGATTCAAATAATTACTACAGTGACATCAATTCCTGGCACTTCTTTTCAGGAGCAACTCGACGTAATGCTTAGCAAAATTGACTTACTCGATCAGTTACGGCTGAATAGTGAGTTCGATCTTCACTGGGTGCTCAACACTTTCGGCTTTGTGACACATGTGAGCTACGCTTAGAAAAATCTTTGCTTGTGTCACATTTGGTAGCAACGTTGGAGCGCTGAAAATACATCTGGCACCTCTTTTCAGATGAAGGCCAAAGTGTAAACAATTGACGCAAAGTGGGCTCGATCTGTCTTTGGAAGTCATCGCAAATAGCGGAAAAAAAGAATTATAGTTCACATAACCAGAAGAAATAAATGTTGCTGACAACAATTTTGTTTTAATGGGCTTCCATATTAAAACTTGGGTTATTTACACTATTTATATTCCGACTATTAGTCTCATCTTTGCTGTTCCTGTTACAAAGTTTCGGTCGTTGTGGCCTCCTGCCTTTACCAGGGGTATATTGATCCGAGTAACCTACAGGAAATTCCGAACTAAATACTTTATTTAATCTACGGGCATAGAATGTTCTCGTTTCACTGCCCACGTCTAAGGATATCTTATCTTAGTCTTATGTTTTAGCGCTGTTCATTTACTAGTCCTGTTTCCATTGAGTACACCTTTCCCGTCATTGAGATTGAACTCGCAATTACCACGTCACCAAATTCAAAAAAAAAAAAAAAACACACTTTAATCCACTGGGATAATCCTCCGTAGGTTATCAGGATCGATATACAGCTAAAGAAGGCCGGAGGGTGCAACGGCTAACATGTTTTGATAATAGTCACAAAGATTATAACAATTGTCTGAATGTACATAAGGATAACTTCTCATCTCTGAATTTCAAAGATAAATCTTTGGTAAGTAAAAGAAAATAAACGTTTTTAAATTTTCGGTGATAATTTTTCACTTTGTTTAAACATTTTTCTTCATTCTGATTAACTGAGAAAAAAAAAATCTTAATTTTATATTTAATATTGCTATTTTGCCTCTCATATATGCCTTAAGTCCAGGTGACTCAGTCGCTTTTCTTTGTTCTTCAGTGCATAACCACATATTGTGTGGCACGATATCTTATAAAAAAAAATATTTCGAAATGGAGAAATACAGTAACTAATCATTAAACATTTTCTTTAAGACCAGAGCTATTTAGTTTGTTATTCATAAATTTAGTAAATATCAGGTATGTGGCGTAATTGGAGTTGTAGTAAAGTTATACCACAGCAACAAGGAAAAACCAGAAATATGGGTACATGGACAAGAATACTATAATGAAGTCGGTATTAAAATAAAAATCTTTTCCTCCCTCAAAATTGATTTTTCCTTAACTATATTTATTTCAATATCTATGTTGAAGTCCACAATATTTATTTATATTATCTCTAAATAATGATACATGGTTCATTATTTAAATGTAATAAAAAGTAAATAAAAAGATAAATAAAAGATAAAATATATAAATAAATGATACAAATAAAAAGATAGTGAAGTGGTTTCCATGGTATTCTTGGAAATCATAATCATCTTTTATTAGCATCGTTGACATTTACGGCTAAATAACCTAGTCGGCACTATTTAACCTATAGCTGAAGGGGGAAGAGTCCGACTGATCCTTTTCTAAAGAACATTTTTAATCACGGTTCGCTGTTTCCATTTTGTGCACTAATATCCACTAGACATCCGTTTCAAAGAATTTTTCATCCATTAAAAGGCGAAAGTGTCACTCAACGTAGAAGGTAAGCGAATCAAATTCTTGTAAGTGCTAAACGTGAGGAAGTGATATGTCCCGGAAAGTGAATATATTTGAACGAAGTAGCTAAGTGGTTTTGGCTACTATAACCAAGAAGAATACTGTAGCAGTAATCGACTGGTACGTGTCTAGTCGAAGTTAAGAAGTGTAGAGCAATGACGTCCGTCGGTATACGCATATTCCATTATATCAGGAAGTAAGAATTTCATGTTAGGAGGATATATAGGATAGATAATTGTTGACCATAGACTTGACCAGGTTAAGAGCATTGTGCCCGTGGAGACATCTCTGGAGTTTGTTCCAGAAAGCAGCAGCAGCAGTCTAAGTTGAATTCGAAAGTAATGAAAACAAGTCAACCCTGTGTACGTGGTGTAGCATGTTCTAGCTGTGAAGGTCTGAATTGGTGGGAATAATTATTGCAACTCATCAGAATATTTCCCATGACAGTAGCGATAGGGTACGGAGAAACTAGCAAGGTTTCCTTTTTCGGAATGGGCTTGTAAAGTGGAATGTAATTTATTACCCACAAGATTTCATAAATGAAATAAATCACGGCTAGGAAGTGAGGATCGAACATTTCCAGTCCAGTTATGGCAGGGATATTCTATGATAGGAAAAATATGGAGCGGACCAAGGAACCGACATTTTTTGCAAGATTTTTTAGCGATGATTCGTATATTCGAGTTCCACTTTTTAATCATTTTACCCCAAGCAAGGTGATAATGCGACTAAGATGCAAGTGGTTCCTGGAAGTAAAACAGACTGAGAAGACAGTAGAAGGAGCAGGAAACCAAATCCTAAACAGGAATCAAGTGATTAACCTTCAAATGGACGGCAAGATGTGTGAAAATTGCGATAAGCTAACCGACAGTGAGTTTGATTCCGAGAAAACGTCCCAGTTAAGGATCTTTATTTACACTACAACTATTCATCATTACCGAGTCTATTCTGGAGCATAACTGTAATCATGAAATTAATGATCCTTTAACGTGCTTAATAAATCTTATCTACATTTTCACAGATTATATAAACAGCGAGTTCCTTTGTCTCTTTGGATGTATCCTGAAAATGATGGGAAACTTAGCTAGTATACATATCTTATGGATCACGCAAATAAAACTGAAGTTTATTATCATCAGGCGAAAATAAAAGATTGAAATACAAAACCCAGAGGAAACTCAACTCTCATTGTAAGTATTATTTCCCCTAGATGTTTTGAACTTGAAATTAATATTATCTAAATATATATATATATATATATATATATATATATATATATATATATATATATATATATATATATATAAAAGGAGAATTCGATTTCCTATCTTATTTCCGGAGTTCATTTGAGAATGACTATACTGGTGGCAAGGTGAAGTCAAAAAGTTGAATGGCGACTTGCACAATTCGGAAAACGGAAAGAAAAGCTTTTTCCGGTAATTTCAAGAGATTTGTTCGTCTTTGTTTTTCGCTTACATTTTCCCAACGGTTTCAACTTAAAAAAAAGGTGGGCATTATTCCTCGTTCTTCTTTTTTTCTGATTTCGAAGCTGTACAATTTCCCGCAACTCGAGGCTATTCATTTCTTTTATTTCACACTTTTGTTAGAATATGGTAGAAGTTTCACAAACATTACTGTAAAGAAAAACACTGTGAATTATCTGAACTTCTCATGTTAATTCTGCCTACATTCCATGATTTATTTCAAATAATATCCTCATTTTTGTTGTTTAGCTTACAAGAAATTAGCGGATATGTCCTCTGGCTTTTTACGGATGTACTCTTCTTTGTCAAACACGATCCAATTGATTTCTTCAATCCCAAACTCATACTGCACGGTGTTTATTGCATACGGCACACTTATTATTTTTCAAATAATTTTCTCAAGAGCACGAATATTTTGTTCCGGCTAAATATATCTAAAAACCTAAAATACTTGAAAAATTACTCCTGGATATGACGATAAACTAAAACCGGCAGTAAGGTCTCTGATCATAATTTTATTCCTCTTCAAAAGAAACGTGATCTTCTACACAATTCTATGATCATTCATGTTCAAAAACCTCACTGGTATATATTACAGTATTAACCAAGTTACTTTCTGTATATGTAAATTCCCGAGCACGCATAGATATAAAAAAAAAGTAAGGAAAATACGACTCCCGTATTTTGCTCGTTCATGGAGGTTTTACGTAACTCGAATTTTTCTTACAAAATTTCTATAACCTAAATAATTCCCCCGTTTGAATCAATCCATGTGGCTCTGACATGTTTTCAATTGAGGGCTGTTATTAATATAACATGTCATATCCGGGGAAGCGTCTCCAATATATCAGCTCGTCCTGGGTATGACGATAAACTACATCCGGCAGCTCTGAGTGGGACAGTGGAAGTTTTGAGGAACGTGGAGCAACGTCTTAATTGTTGTTGAACCGGTTTCGTAGCACCTGTTAGGGTCTCAGTTATGGGCAAATAATGGACCCCCAAACGACAATGGAACACTATAAAAGTATAAAAAAATATTTTTATATTAAAAATGACAACAATACATGTTGATATAACAAAATTACCAACGAAACATATTTATAGTAAAATACTTACGATACATTTATAGCAAAATGTCCAGAAATTCATTTTGGCACCCATAGAGATTGATCTGTCGCTAAACAAAATCAACCAATCAATCAACATGAAAGAACTCTTTCAAGACATTAATTCATATAATATTCTACAATTACTTAAAGAAATGAAACTGTATTCCAAAATATAACTTCAACATAAAAAACATATACCGCAACCTCTCGTAACTATATCCACACACACAAATATATATTTATTAAAGACATTTTTATGTTTAACGTTGTTATTTATAGATACAAGTATTTAAGCAAATGCTCTGTTTATGATAAACAGTATTAAATAACATTTACCGGCCTGAATGTCCGAGAAATTTTCATAGAAAATATTCGTTCTTTGACGATTCAGATTACCGTCCTATACGGAACCGTCATTTATTCGTCTCGGCCACAAAGAACAAGGTCGAATTTACTGCTTATAAACTTCAATCTTCTTTGTGGCCGAGACGGTTAAGGCACGTCAGCGTAAATAACGGTTCCG